GAATTTTACACTGTTCCAGTCCCATAACCTCGGGTTCCAGTTGCTGGTAGGATTGGGAATCCACTGGTTGATCTGCTGCTGATGATGACGTTGGAAGTTATTAGGGTTTTGCCATGGAAAATCTCTCTTTTTAGCATGGATTGGGCCATCATGGAACCGAATCGGGTGCGGATGGTGAAGGAAAATTGGAGGTGCCACTTGCGCACCAACATCCCCTTCCATTTTTGTTTTCCCTCTCAAAGACACTCAAATCTCAGTGAAATCCAATCCAAAATCTCAACTTTCCCCCCCTCAAAATTCTCTTCATTTGTTGTCTCAATCTAGGAACCAGATCAAATCCTGATCCAATGAAGAGCGCATAACAAGAATTAGATAAAACCACCCGGATTCAACTTATTTAGCACTAAGATAGAAGAAAATTTCAGAATAATAGATGCCATAATCAAGAGCTAAAAACACATAAGCTACTAAAAAAAACTCTGAGCTCAAAGTTGGTAGAGTTGACAGAAAACTAAATACAAATTTAGCACAGCAACAGAAAGAAATCAGAAACCCCAGGAACAACTCCCCCAGAAAACCACCCAAAATCCTAAACAAAAAACTTCTTTTTAGAATCCGTCAGCTAAATTTGCACAAAGGAACAACTAAACTAAATCCAAAACACAAGAGAAACTACCAAAGATTCAAATTTTACACTTACATTACTGGCGCGTGACTGATCAGCTCCTAGGTCGAGAGAAATCTGTGAGAGGGAGGGAGAGGATTTTTCTTTTTTTCCCCTTTTATTTTTGTATCGGATTTGTTTGCAGCGTGGCAAATCCCGTAAATAAATGAGCAAGGCAGTGGCTTTTCGTTTCCTGGTGGTGGTGGTGGTGGAGGTGGTGTTCTTGGAGTGAGAGAGAGAGAGAGAGAGAGAGGAGGAGAGAGAACGCGAGAGGGAGTCGTGTTGTGTTGTGTTCAATTATTTGAAAGAGATTGAGAACTCTTCGAACTTTCTTTTTTTCTCTCTCTCTCTCTCTCTTTTTGAGTTTGGTTTGTTTTTATGTCATGCATTTCATCATGCTGTTGCTTATGATGGCCCCTTTGCGGTTACCTTGATTTGGGAGATTGTATGTAGCGGTTTGTTGTTGGCTTCACTTTGCAACTTTCACCCAAAATATGTAGATCTTTGTAGCTTTGGAAATTTTAGGGAGAGGCAGCTCGGGCAGGGTATTGGGGATTTGAAGTATCTTCATTTCCCCCAAGAAACACTTATTAGAATGACTATATGTCATATCAGAATCGTCCACATGTGAGCAGATGGTTTAAAACCGCACGATTGGTTGGGGGGCGCAAATTCTCGTTTTGCCCCGCATTTAGTCCCAAGTGCGTCTCAAAACCTTCCACTCGCGTTTGGACGGTATTGATAGACTCTAGATGTAGGGAACGTTGCACGGGCTTTTGATGTCTACGATGAGCCAATATACATCAACTCCTCCAAGCTATGTGTGGGGGAGGCGAGGTTTTTCTAGATCCTCCAAGGACACATTTAATCTCTTAGAATTTTTCTAACGTTTACATGTTTCGTGCATATCTTTGTAGCAATGAGGATATTAATCGTTCTTATTTTGGTTAAGAGCATTGTCTGCTCCTCCTTACATTACCTGTGATCAAAGACAATAAAAGGCGTTTCGGGACCAAACCATGAGGACAGAGAGCCTCTTCAATACTCAAATCACATATTTATCTATAGACTAAAATAATTGGGGTTAATATTGTAGGTAGACACTATTCATATCTACGGCGCACCACATAAAACTAAAAATACATTATGATTTGCCTTTTCTCATGTAAGCTTAAAGTTTGTCTATATTTAGACTATGTTTGGGGCTTTACTAGAGGAAAGAAAGGAAAGATAAGATAGGGGAAGGAAAGGTAAAGAAGGGAAGGAAAAATATAGTATCTTGTTTGGAAGTTTTATAATGAGAATGGAGGATAATTTCTTTTAGCTTATTTGGGAGTTCTAATAAAGTGAAGGGAATGGAATAGAAGGGTTTTGAAATTAACTTGTAGCCATTGATCTATGATGATAAGAACCAAAATTGTGTTTATATGGTAAAAGTTTTATAATTAATTATCTTCCCCTCTTCTACGCCCAGATTTGAAGGGGAACAAAATTAAACCTTTTTACCCTCCCTTAGAGCATCTCCAAGGGGCCGGAAAAATCCGGCCCCTTAGCTAGATTAAGGGAGAATGAAGGGGAAGGTGCTCCAAGGGGCCGGAAAACTTTCCCCTTCACCCCAAACCCCTTAACTCCCTCCTCAAATTACGGGGAAGGTTAAAGTCTCTTAACCTTCCCCTTATAATTTTATATTAATATTTTCTTTTTAAATGAAGTTAATGTATAGTTAATTAAATTTAGTTAATATATAGTTAATGTATAATTAATACTTTTAACATGATTTATATAAATTAATTATTATATAAATTAATTATTTATTAAATTTTAATATGATTAATTAATTTAATAATTATATAAGATAATTTCTTACTTTAAATTAATTATTTATTTAATTTTAGTTATTAATATTTAATTATTTATTCATTTATAAATAAACCATATATTTAATTAAATCTTAATCTATAAAATTAAAACACTAAATATGAATAATTAAGGGGCAAGAGGACTTTTAAGGAGGAACCATTGGAGGATAACATCCCTCCCTTAAAACTCCCCCTAGATTAAGGGACATTGTAAGGATCCCTTGGAGATGCTCTTACCCCCTCTTAAAAAAACTCCCAAACAGAGTTAACTCTCTTTTCCCCTTCCCCTACCCCACCTTACCCACCGATCCAAGCATACCTTTAGTTTAAACTCATCCAAATTCAAAGTGTACTCCTTGAAGAAATTACAGAAACTCAGAAGAATCAGGCAAACCAGGCGGCGGTCGACCGGTCCGGTCGACCGCATTCGTGCACAAAGCTTACTGTGCGACAGAAAGAAGGTCGGTCGACCGGGCCAGTCGACCGCAGGTGTTTCGGTCGACCGGTGCGGTCGACCGAGGGGTTCTCTGGAGTTTTGGGTTTTCTGCTGGGAGCTGGTCGGTCGACCGGACCGGTCGACCGGAATTGATCGCGGTCGACCGTGCCGGTCGACCGACGCTGTTTTGGGCTGGGCTTTCAGGTTTTCGACCCGGTTTGATGTGCCTTTACCGATCACCGTTTGAATCGGGCTAGCATGCGGATTATCGAAATCCGTTCCGTATGTAACGTTGTGCTAAAGGAATGAACTCCCTTAGACTTGCTGCTACGACTTCGAATACGTAGACTTTGCCCTTGTTACGGGAATAGGCTACCCGGCAACACGTGTTAGGTGTTGACTTATCCCTACTTAGGATTCGGGATAAAGTTCCCCACGCAGCAAGTGCGCGGATTGGAAATTGAAAGTTGTGTCAAAATAGGAGAGGAAGAAGTTTATATTCTATCTCCCACTGGAAAGGAAACTCGAGGTGGGATTCTCCACCCCCAGTATCTGGAAGGATGAACTGGGAATGGGATCTCCACTCCGAGCACCCGGAATGATGAACTGGGAGTGGGGTCGCCACTCCGAGCATCGGAAAGGTCCGAGGAGAGGAAGAATTTTATATTCTATCTCCCGGTGCTAAAGAGGAAGAATTTTATATTCTATCTTCAGCTGGAAAGGAAACTCGAGGTGGGAATCTCCACCCCCAGTATCTGGAAGGATGAACTGGGAATAGGATCTCTACTCCGAGCACCCGAAAGGTCTGAGGAGAGGAAGAATTTTATATTCTATCTCCCGGTGCTGAAGAGGAAGAATTTTATATTCTATCTTCAGAACTGGAGAGGAAGAATTTTATATTCTATCTCCCGGTGCTAAAGAGGAAGAATTTTATATTCTATCTTCAGCTGGAAAGGAAACTCGAGGTGGCACACCCCCAGAATCCGAAAGGCTCAAACGACCCTAACTGTCGTAAGGTTTGGTCATTTGACTCTGAAGAGGAAGAATTTTATATTCTATCTTCAGCTGGAAAGGAAACTCGAGGTGGCACAAGCTAGAAAGAGGGGATGTCGTGCTTATGGGTAATGATCACGTATGCCCTATTGGTGGTATTGGTTCAGTCCGGATCAGGATGCATGATGGTGTAGTGAGGGAATTGAAGGAAGTGAGGTTCGTGCCGCAGTTGACGAAGAACATCATTTCTCTTGGGACTTTGGAGGCAGCAGGATATCGAGTGATCTTAGAGGATGCTACAGTGAAGGTCACGAAGGGTTCTATGGTGGTGATGCGAGGTGTCAGGGAAAACTACCTATACTACTTGAAGGGCAAGACAGTTACAGGGGGTCTGGCAGCTTCTATCACTACAGAGGAGGACACTACCACCTTATGGCACATGAGACTTGGACACACAGGAGATAAGTCCCTACAGTCATTGGCTAAACAGGGGCTATTGAAAGGTGCTAAGACCTGCAAGATGGAATTGTGTGAGCATTGTGTACTTGGGAAGAAGATTAGAGTGAAGTTTGGCACCGCTGTTCATAACACCCTAGGTACATTGGATTATATTCACACAGACGTTTGGGGTCCTTCCAAGAACACATCTCTTGGTGGGGCCAACTATTTTGTCACTTTCATTGATGATTATTCCAGGAGGAATTGGGTATACCCGATGAAGCATAAACATCAGGTCCTGGATATTTTTGTGGAGTGGAAGAAGAAAGTGGAGCTGTAGACAGGTAGAAAGGTGAAGACTCTACGTTCAGATAACGGTGGAGAGTACAAAAGTGATCCGTTTCTGCAGTTTTGCAGGGATCACGGCATTAAAAGATACTTCACAGTTCGAAAGACACCGCAACAAAACGGGGTGGCTGAGAGATTGAACCGTGCCTTGCTGGAGAAGGTGCGGTGTATGATGACGCAAAGTGGATTGCCTAGATCCTTTTGGGCTGAGGCGTTAGTTTATGCGAGTCATCTCGTGAACAGGTTGCCGT